TCTGTCTATCTGTCTATCATCTCTATCTGTCTGTCTGTCTGTCTATCTGTCTATCTATCTCTGTCTGTCTGTCTGTCTGTCTGTCTGTCTATCTATGATTAGTGACTGGTGTTTTTAATGGCAAAAATAATTTATAAGAACTGCAAGAATCTAAATAGATTTATAAATATTAACTTTTTTGTCAGATATGACATTATTCAGCACTAATATGTTTGCTTCCTTTTTGTATTTCACTACTAAAATTTTGTTCAAATAATCAGTTGCAAAGGTCATGTTTCTTCACATTTATTTCCACACATTCTCTGTCACACTTTTCATATTAATTCAAAATATGACACCTTTCTCCATTCTCTTAGTTTGCCATTCTCAAGTAAATGCAAGACTGCAAAAAAGTAAAGACTGTATTAACATTAATCCAGGGATCTTTGTCAATTTTATTTTAAGATGTATTATTAGATGATTTGTTCTGAAACAAATGGTCATCATCATATAACTGATTTTCATACTTATATATCGCCTTAATTTCAAAGAGTACAAGTAAATCTAATTTAACCCCAAAAATTGATTTGTTTAATTTGAACATTAACATAAGCTAAATATTAATCTTAGCTAGTTTTATGTCATCCCCTTGAACTATTCTTGTTGTCCATGTTAATAGATTATAAATGGTTAAATGGTAGTATAAATAGTTACGTATAGTTATTTAGCCCTGCAACGAATTATAGAAATAAACCTGGTTTAATGGCTAGTTAATAAATAGGGTATGCTTATGTTTTTTAGACACTGTAACCTCTTCCATTTTATTTTTTACTTTTAATAAACTTGATTAATACACTAGTAAATGTCAGTGGTCCAATTGAATAATTGTTTAAGTGCATATATTCCATGTAACTTCTCTTTCTCTTCTTTAAATAATGTGCAAGGCAAAACATACTGTTAAATATCTTTTCAAGACTTTTGGGGACCTCCTCGTTGTAAGGCAATTTCAGTAGGTGTGCCAAAAATTGTCTAACAATCACGATTTGTAGATAGTTTATTTGTGGAAACTTCGAGGACAATTTTACAATATGTTTTTTATTAATAATATTTAGATGTGTAACTTTAAAACTTTTTATACAACTATTAATTTGCCATTATTTAACACTAAGTGCATACTATAAGGATACTGTAAAATGTCCATATTTCTCTCAAAAATATAACTGAGTGAAAATACACATTAATCTTCATCATGAAATTCTAGACGTATTTTAAAAGTATGCATGTGCATGGTTAAAGATGTATCTTTTTTTGTCTAATATAATTGGCTCTTCATATGGTCAGTTCAGCAACCCAACCCCCTCTCTTTGTTACTGGAAAGGCAAATTAGTTTTTTCATGACTTCAGCATGTTACACAACTCATGGGTTATTCTTATATTCAGACCATTCCATGCGCATCTGTTATTGCAACACACTATCTAACTTTGGCTCAAGTGTGGAGGACATTTAGTACTCAAAAGCATACAAAAGTTAAGCCTGCAAGAAAGAAAGAAACATAGGTTATGATTAATTTAAAATGATTCATATAAAAAATCCCCTCGGATAATTTCTCTAACATGATCCTCAACCTTCATTCATCAAATGAATTTGACATGCTTACATCAACCAATTATAAGTCTTGCAGTGAGTAAAGTAGTAGTTGCTGGTAACATAAGCTTAAGCAATGGTCAAAAACATTACCAATACAGTGCGAAAGAAATTCTAACAGAGTCTAATCAATTGTTGATAAATTGTGCTTTAATGCCACCTGATATCTCTCTGATTTTTTGTGTAAGCCAATACTAAGTTATACTCCTTCCATCAGCATCCTGGAATTAAAATACAACACATTTTCCCAATTTGACCAGATACACATACCATCTTCTCCCAACATTCTATCCAGAGTCATCCTATTTTCAAAATGCACAACAAAAGAATTTGATCATTTTTACAGATTCCAAATCTTGTTTTCAAGCTATGGAAAATTAAAAACGGAATAAATTGCAAACTATAGTAACTATAGTAGACCTTTCACAGTCAATTTTTTGTATTATTTTCTTCTGGATTTTGGGTCATATTGGACTATTAGGAAATGAACAAGTTGATACTGTTGCAAAGGAAGCTGTCAGTTTGGGTACAAATTGTTAAATGTTTTTCTCAGACTTGCTCTGAATTCTTACATAATAAACAGTCAAGTGGCAAGAAGAATGGGACACATGTACAGATTACATGAAATTCATACTAAAATTTCTAACAGACTTTTATTCCCTTTCAAAGCGTTCAAATGTTGTTTAGGACATTTAAGAAATTTGTTCTCAAAAATTAGCCAATTCAACTCTGTTTTCTCCTTGTTTTACAAACTGGGACTTATTGTCACCAGATAATTTCTCAAGCACACTTTATTCAGTAGCATAGGCCTTTTAACCTGAAAAAATGCTCAACTTATTTTGCTCATGTTAACAGTAACAAGACAATATTTCATATTTTTACACAGAATCAGTTCGATGAAATCCATTATGACATGCTGAAATGTTATAAAAGAAAGTGAGGTGTGGGGGTGGACAGAGCAAGCTTGCTTGCTTGCTTTGACTTCCCATGTTATACGCTGCACAAATGTGGCACCGTTTTATTTCTTCCACAAAAATAACCTTGGTACTGACCAGGATACTTAATCTAATTTATCCATGGCCAGTATTTTATTGGGCATAATCTGCCCTGTGTGCCCACTTGATACATTTTAGATACAGCTGTTTTGATGGAATGATTTATTTGCCTTATCTCTTCGAACACTATCTCTCATTTCATACAACACCATCACACACTTTCACTTCCCCCCCTCTGGCCAGAGCATCATAAATTTTTGTCTGCCTCAGCAGATTGTGAACTGAATGGGAAATGGGATATGTATTGTGGAACACCACTAAATCTTAACGGGTAACACAACTTTTGGCTGATGCTACTGAAAACTGTGGCATTCCCTGTGCAACAGTGTCTAAATGTTAGAATAATAATTGAAATTGCCTGGGTTGGGGTTAACACCACAGACAAAAACCTAACTTTTCAAAATCAAATAGAGTAAATGATTTAGAATAATCTGATAGACTTAGGCCTGCAGTTGAGAGAGCCTAATTCAGTTTCTCAAATGCAATTTGTCATTTGTTGTTCAATTAGAATTTTTCAAACTCTTTGTTGTTGCTCATGAGCTGCTTAGAGGAAGATTGGAGATCGCCACACAATCTTGTATCCATGGCCAAAAGACGTTCCTATCTCGTACATCTGGGGATGACAGCATTTGTGATCTCAAAAGTTTGGAATTTCGAGTTTTTATTTAATCTATAAAATTACCTTTACCTCTATGTGGATTGTCGGTCAGTTGAACGTTTCATCAATCCTGCCAATTTTGCATGGCAGGATGTTTAGTCCTTTGGAAAAGTCTCAAGTGAAAGTTTCACCTTTTCCTGCATCGAATCAGTCTATCTTCATGCTGGCGCCTCAGAAGTGGCTACGTCCACACGAAGCCAGAATCAGTGAGCAAGATGAGAACTTAGATAAGGTTTGTCCAAGAAGTTGCTATATTTGTCCCTAAACTTTTGAAAAAAGTCTCAAAAGGGGCGGGGAAGTCACTAAATCTAGCTACAAAGTAGCTAAATTGGCAACACTGAGCCAGAGCTTTCCCTGTCCGATACAAAAATGTATGCGTATACAGCTAAACGCGTCTCCATGTGGACGGGGGTCTATTCTTTCAGGAGGGAAGCTGAAGGCCCATCAGCTATTTTCTCTTCTCTCTGAAACCGGGTTTCTGCTTCTCTTCCACTCCAGTCTATTCATTCCCATTTATCAAGGCGCCTGTTCCAGAAGTTGCCTGGTCATAGCTAAAATCTGAAAACTCAGTGAACCGCATGAATCAAACTGATCCTTTGTAAATTCTGACCACAGCTGTGTCTGAGCAATCAGCTCTTTATTTAAATGACACTTTTTGACTTTTTAAATTCTCTTTCGATGGTCTGTTAATTTCGTTTCATTTCATTTTCATGGTTGAGCAGCAGTTCCCCATTCTATTTTTATAAAGCAAGTTCTTCTTTGCAGTGAAAGAGCAAGCAATTTCTTCTTTGCAAAAAACTGAAAACAGCAGTCAACTCTAATTAATATAGAATATGGTGTTGTATAATGTAATAGCAAAGAATTCTTTGTCTTTTCTCTTTTCCTAGAAACTAAAATTACTGAGCTGTCTGTTATGTGTCTGTTCAAATCAAATTTTCTATTTAACTTGGTCACTTGATCTCATTCAACACAATGCACAAGAGTTACCTTCGTTAACATAAACCAAAATTGTAGAATCTCTGCAATGGATCAACTTTTCATACCATCTCCCAGGGATAACGGGATACAAATTCTAGTCATCTTCAGATACAGAGTATAATATTTAAACATGTGTTGTTATTATCTTACTATTTATTCATCACTTTAGAGGACTCGTTCCTCAAATGTATGTATGGTCCAATACATAATTCTAATTCTATCCCATAAAAATTTGTCCATGACTCAAAATTGCATAATTCTCACAGAGGGCTTCACAGGGGCATATCCTATTATTTATAAATGTAAAAAAAAAAAAAAATCTCAGGATAACAATATTGATCTTTTTCAATTCTTTTAACAATTCTCTCTTGATTTTTATTTTCAGTCATGCTTTTAATTCATCACCTTGATTGAATTCTCTTATTCAAGCAAAGAGCAAGTTGTAGTACTACAGCCTGCTTTTGGGGTAATTGCCCTGCTGAATATAGTGACAGCATTCCGTTAAGACACTGCTATCACTACCTACCTAAATTACCAGGCAAGTGTCAGATCTCTAGCATCTATACACTATCATTCCCTCGACTGTGATCATATGAGTGTAGAATCTTTAGCACTTATAATTCTAAGCTGCAGCGTAGGTTACTCTTTGCAGGAACAAAGTTTTACTGACAGCTTGTGATGTAGGAGGTTTATGTCCCCATGGACTAATATAGTAATATGTGATTTACCTCTTTCGTTTGTTTGAGAAGTAAACATCGTTCCATGGTTCCTTCACAGTCAATACAGGAAACCTGAGGCTGAGAAAAATACCATAGAAATGTGTGAAACTGTCAGTTTTTCTACATTGACTTCTACATTTAGACAATTCTTCTCTGATAGTGAATACTTACTGGCTTATTGTGAAGGCTACATTCTTTCCGATGGACTCCCGGTGTTGTGCTGTCACATGAGGTGGGTCTCAGTACCACATTGACCATATTGTTATTCTGTCAGATATACGTACATGTAACTCTAGCATAAAAACTAGCAACCAAATATACATGTAGAAGAAGCTTACTTTTTATGGAATACTTTAAGTACATGCACAGAAAACAAATAATCAAAACAAACCCACAAATTACAGAGTATGAATTAAATAACTTACTTTATTGACAATGGTGAAAAAGTCAAGGTGTTTGCCATTTCCATAATCCTGATTGGCTTGTACTATTGCCTTGTCAACAATTTTTCTGTCATTATCATTTAACTCATCATATATCATTCCCTTTGCTGACTCCAGCAGGAACAGAGCGTTAAGCAGGAACAGTAAGCCTCTCATCTTGACCAGTAACTGAAGTACTGTGCTGTTTGCCTGATGTTTTTCAGAATCAGTTACTGTGTCACGTCTACACAGATCACAACAGCTGTGATTGGTTTGCTTTGTAAGCAGAGGCCCTCCCCTAAGATGATGGGGGGAGGATTTCTGCAGGTTTTAACATTAAGGTAAATTTAAGTCGTCAAGAACTTTTTAAAGATCAAGTAAAGAAAAAAAAAATCAGGAATAAAAGGGAACAAAATGTGTCAATACATATTTTCTCTAAATGTATGAGTTGTATTTATAGCAACATTTATACATTTATAGCAACATTTATAGCAACATTTCAGGGGAAAACCAAGGATTTCTGCAGGTTTTAACTTTAAGGTAAATTTAAGTCGTCAAGAACTTTTTAAAGATCAAGTAAAGAAAAAAAAAATCAGGAATAAAAGGTAACAAAATGTGTCAATACATATTTTCTCTAAATGTATGAGTTGTATTTATAGCAACATTTCAAAGTTTCAAAAGAAAAAAAAAAGAATTTAGTTAAACACAGTGGTGGCCAAAATGATTAAACACTAGAATTTTCACCAGCTAAAAAATGGTTTCAAGTCAGTTATTTATATATTTTGCTGTAGTGTGTCAGTATATCAGTTTACATTTCCAAACATTCATTTTGCCATTAATTGTAATAATGCAGTGAGATTTTTGTTTGCACAAGGAGTCTGACAACAGAGATCTGATCTCACCATAATCAGTCCATCTGGAATGACATGAAGAAACAGAAAAACCTGAGACAGACTAAATCCAGAAGAACTGTGGCAACGCCTCCAAAGACGCTTCAAGAAACCTTCCTGCAAAGCTCCAGTACTGTTAAATGTTTTAGGCACTTGTGTAAAAATGCTGTAAAGTGAGAATGCTTTCAAAAATAATGTCATAAATAGATTTTCTTTATCAATTAACTTCTATTAATTAAATTAAATCAACATCCGGTGTGACCAACCTTTGCGTTTAAAGCAGCTTTTGCCCTAGGTGCACTTGTGCATAGTTTTTCAGGTAGCTTTGCAGGTAGGTCTCTTGAAGCATCTTGAAGACGTTGTCACAGTTCTTCTGGATTTAGTCTGTCTCAGTTTGACTCGGTTTCTTCATGTCATTCCAGACGGACTGATGATGGTGAGATCACATCTCTGTGTGGAGCACTGGCTGTTGTTAGACTTGTGCAAAAAAACAAAAAAAAACTAGCAGTGCAAAGAACATTTCCCCAACTGACCTACATTTCTAAACCACAGTATTTAGAAAAGATGTAAAAATGACCAAATTAACATAAAACATCCTATCTATAATCACCAAAAAACATTTATACATTTATAGCAACATTTATAGCAACATTTCAGGGGAAAACCAAGGATTTCTGCAGGTTTTAACTTTAAGGTAAATTTAAGTCGTCAAGAACTTTTTAAAGATCAAGTAAAGAAAAAAAAAATCAGGAATAAAAGGGAACAAAATGTGTCAATACATATTTTCTCTAAATGTATGAGTTGTATTTATAGCAACATTTATACATTTATAGCAACATTTATAGCAACATTTCAGGGGAAAACCAAGGATTTCTGCAGGTTTTAACTTTAAGGTAAATTTAAGTCGTCAAGAACTTTTTAAAGATCAAGTAAAGAAAAAAAAAATCAGGAATAAAAGGGAACAAAATGTGTCAATACATATTTTCTCTAAATGTATGAGTTGTATTTATAGCAACATTTATACATTTATAGCAACATTTATAGCAACATTTCAGGGGAAAACCAAGGATTTCTGCAGGTTTTAACTTTAAGGTAAATTTAAGTCGTCAAGAACTTTTTAAAGATCAAGTAAAGAAAAAAAAAATCAGGAATAAAAGGGAACAAAATGTGTCAATACATATTTTCTCTAAATGTATGAGTTGTATTTATAGCAACATTTATACATTTATAGCAACATTTATAGCAACATTTCAGGGGAAAACCAAGGATTTCTGCAGGTTTTAACTTTAAGGTAAATTTAAGTCGTCAAGAACTTTTTAAAGATCAAGTAAAGAAAAAAAAAATCAGGAATAAAAGGGAACAAAATGTGTCAATACATATTTTCTCTAAATGTATGAGTTGTATTTATAGCAACATTTATACATTTATAGCAACATTTATAGCAACATTTCAGGGGAAAACCAAGGATTTCTGCAGGTTTTAACTTTAAGGTAAATTTAAGTCGTCAAGAACTTTTTAAAGATCAAGTAAAGAAAAAAAAAATCAGGAATAAAAGGGAACAAAATGTGTCAATACATATTTTCTCTAAATGTATGAGTTGTATTTATAGCAACATTTATACATTTATAGCAACATTTATAGCAACATTTCAGGGGAAAACCAAGGATTTCTGCAGGTTTTAACTTTAAGGTAAATTTAAGTCGTCAAGAACTTTTTAAAGATCAAGTAAAGAAAAAAAAAATCAGGAATAAAAGGGAACAAAATGTGTCAATACATATTTTCTCTAAATGTATGAGTTGTATTTATAGCAACATTTCAAAGTTTCAAAAGAAAAAAAAAAGAATTTAGTTAAACACAGTGGTGGCCAAAATGATTAAACACTAGAATTTTCACCAGCTAAAAAATGGTTTCAAGTCAGTTATTTATATATTTTGCTGTAGTGTGTCAGTATATCAGTTTACATTTCCAATTTGCCATTTTGCCATTAATTGTAATAATGCAGTGAGATTTTTGTTTGCACAAGGAGTCTGACAACAGAGATCTGATCTTCAGTCCATCAGAAGAACTGTGGCAACGCCTCCAAAGACGCTTCAAGAAACCTTCCTGCAAAGCTCCAGTACTGTTAAATGTTTTAGGCACTTGTGTAAAAATGCTGTAAAGTGAGAATGCTTTCAAAAATAATGTCATAAATAGATTTTCTTTATCAATTAACTTCTATTAATTAAATTAAATCAACATCCGGTGTGACCAACCTTTGCGTTTAAAGCAGCTTTTGCCCTAGGTGCACTTGTGCATAGTTTTTCAGGTAGCTTTGCAGGTAGGTCTCTTGAAGCATCTTGAAGACGTTGTCACAGTTCTTCTGGATTTAGTCTGTCTCAGTTTGACTCGGTTTCTTCATGTCATTCCAGACGGACTGATGATGGTGAGATCACATCTCTGTGTGGAGCACTGGCTGTTGTTAGACTTGTGCAAAAAAACAAAAAAAAACTAGCAGTGCAAAGAACATTTCCCCAACTGACCTACATTTCTAAACCACAGTATTTAGAAAAGATGTAAAAATGACCAAATTAACATAAAACATCCTATCTATAATCACCAAAAAAACAACCTTTAACATCTCTTAAAATGTATCAAATGTTTTTAAAACCTTTATTAATACCGGTAATTTATTCCATGCAATTGCACTTCTGTTTAAAACAGTATTATTCCCCACCAAATGTTTAAATACTGCACTTCCGACCCCTAGTGTCATAGGTATGCTGATCTAATACCATCAAAATAATTTCCTAAATAACTTGGACAATTATTTTGTATAATCCCCATAAATCAGAAGCAGTGTCTGGAAAATCTAGTAGCCCCTCACTGCAGAACATAGATCCAGGGGGCGGGGTTGGATCCACATCTAGGGGGTGGAGATTGGTAGGTTTAGGGGTGGAGATGGGTGGGTTTAGGGATCAGGGAGTGGAGACGGGTAGGTTTAGGTATATGTAAGGTGGGAGGAGTTGGATCTGGATCCAACCTCACCCCCTGGATCTTGTGTTCTGCTGTGAGGACCATCGGAAAATACGCCGTTTCAGATTTTCCCGCTTATGACTGGTGACGATCTGCCCTATTCGCATTAACCCCGCCCTGACTGAACCTCACATAGTCGGCCATGTTTATATCGTTGCAATAGCGCCTATTTACAAACTGTCTGCGCCACATAAGCCTTACAAATGTACAAATAAAGAGTATCCAAAGACTCACAGCATCTGAGCCACGGAGAACATTGTGGATGAATTTCATTTATGGAAGGAAATGTGCCAAAGAGTTATATATTTGTGCAAATCATTTTATGCCTGACTGCTTCGTAAACAAGGGTCAGTTCAACAGAGGATTTGCACTAGTGATGGGAAGTTCGGATCATTTTACTGACTCGGACCTTTGAGTTTCGTTCAGCAAAATGAACCAATCTTTTTTCCGAGTCATTTCGTTCATTTTAGCAAAATATAATTAAAATGTTACATGTTACTTCCCTAATATGTCTACTACTTACGCAAACGTTGATCACACTACAAACAATACAAAACTGCTATAAGAAACAGAAAAGATTAATTCATTGTTTACCTGGGTCTTCAGTCTATGATTAGCTCACCTCACCTCTTATCTGACAAGTCTTCGGGTTTGGGCTTATGGGGCTGTCACGTGATGAATGAACGACTCAAACCCGAAGACTCGAGAGATGAACTAATCAATTCTCTTTCCGGCTCAGACTGCATAGGGTAAGCTTATGGGGCTGTCACGTGATGAACGAACGACTCGGAAAACCCTGAAGACTCGAACCAGGTGAACTACTTGACTAAATCCAGGACAGAACCTATGATGTTGCGCATGCGCGACTGAACGAATCACTCCCCGAGACGACTCGTTCTTCTCGAGTCACATTAAAGATTCGTTCAAAATGAACGAATCGTTCAAGAACGACCCAACACTAATTTGCACAGAAGCTGATTCTGGAAAGATGTCTCAATACCAGCTGTTCATGCTCAAACATCATAACCTGAACAAGAAAGAATCGCCTCATAGTTTCTGAATGTTTTCAAATCACGAGATGTAAAGGCCCCGCCCTCTTCTGGTAAAAGGGCGGAAGCAGCAGCTCATTTGCATTTAAAGGTACACACACCCAAAAGAGGGGCAAATTTGACATGCTATAATAAAAAGATCTGTGGGATATTTTGAGCTGAAAATTCAGACACATTCTGGGGACACCAGAGACTTATTACATATTGTAAAAAGGGAATAATAGGTCCCCTTTAAAAATAATATTTTTCCCCCAACTGATATACAGGCTTAAAATCTTGAAAATGAAAGGATTATGTTTTTAACATTATTAAAACTTATTTTGAGCCTTGTGCAATTTCTCTTTCGTACTCTGCGGACACCTGTCCAAATAAAAGGCTGCATAATCAAAGTGTGGTTGTATAAAATAGTGATGTATTAGTGTAAAAAAAAATAAAAATCCTCAAGCCACAACCTTAGGGTTTTTATTTGATGCTCCTGATGTTTACCACGTTTTCCTGCTTTCAAAGTACAAGTTTACATGTCACCCCTGATAAAACATTCAATGTTTGATTTTGATTCAATGTTGATGAACTCAAAGCAACAAATGCAAATATTACCCTTGACTCATGGCTGCATTTGTATTCACTATTTATACCATGTTTAACTTTATTACACTTTAACCATAATTCCAGTTACTCTTCTAAACAGAGGACAATAACCACAAAAAAAGCCGCTGTTTAAGTGTATTTCAAAATGATGAGCTTCCATACAATTTCATAAAGAGATAAGTCTGAAACAGACCAAAGTGTCATATTTGAAGAATTTATTGTTCATTTGAAACCAAGAGCATCATAACAGGCTAATGACTATTTTAAACAATAAGAGGGGGAGGGGAGGGGGAGGGGGAGATGACAAAGCAACTGAATTTGAAGAACATCTGATGGAATGGGAAGTAAACCAATGACCCAAAAAAGGAGGGAAGGAGAGGGGGCATTCAGTCGTTCACATTAATGTACAGCAATAATAAAAAAAATATTCATGAGCATTTCCTTGCCTCTGTCCCAAGGAGGGATCATTAATAATATTAATATCAACATCGATAAAAAATAATTACAAGTTATAAAGAGAAGCCAGTACCACTGGGAAGAGTGGCTGGCGGCTGTGTCTGTGTAAGTGAGAAAGAGGAAGGGGAGAGATGGAGAGAGGAGAAAAGGTTATGAAGGGCAGGATGTATTTTTGACAGTCTATGCAGAGAGATCACTGTTCTCAAACCGTTCCTGATCATACACCTCAGCTATGACCTTGCGACCTCCGAACCAGCGGTTGTTGAGTGCCTGAATGGCCTTGTTCATCTCTGATGCCGCTGAAAACTCAACAAAGATCTTGACAATGACTTCAGCATCCTCCTCCTCGCCCTGCTTCTCCTGATAGATGATCACTCTATTAACAGCTCCAAACTTCCCACATTCCTCCGTTACTTCTCCTTCCAGATCGTCATCTATGTCCTCAGGTCCAACCATGTTCCTGAGCACCATAACCGTAGTCTGTGGACAGAGCATACAGAAAAGTGTTTAAATGTCACTGCTCTACAACATTCAAAAGTAAAAAAAAAATTATTCAGAGGGATGCATTTAATTCGTCAAAAGACTTTTATAATGTTACAAAAGATTTCTTATTCAAATAAATGCAGTTTAATCAAAGAATCTTGGGGGAAAAAAAGAAAAATGTTTCCACAAATTAAGCAGCACATCCGTTTTCAATATTGATAAATGTTTCTTGTGCACCAAATCAGCACATTAAGATGATTTCTGAAGGATAATGTGATTCTGATGACGAGTAATGGCTGCTGAAAAATCAGCTGTCACCACAGGAATAAATTACATTTTAAAATATATTAAAATAGAAACAGGGCTCTACAGTCACACCAAAATTACTGCATGCGACTGTGAAAAAATATTTAAGAGCACCTGTGCAATTCATCAGGGGCTCAGTAATAGCATATTGGCGGAACAGATTTTCCAAACACGTGTATTGTTGTTTGCGCTCTGGAGAGCATCAACAGTTTCGATCCACAACGTGTTTTTGCAATGTTAAGCAATATAGCCCATCACAGATATATCTGTTGATTTCTTGAATGCAATGGCCAATCTGGGGCCCGTTCTTCGTACGTTGCTAACTCAGTTAAGCTGGATTTAATTGTTGACGATTTGGCATGATCTTGGATTATTTGGTTCTTCGAAGCTCATCCCAGAGTTGCTGTCATAGCAACAGGTCCGTAAGCTTAAACCTGCTCGGGAGCAGGCTTATTTCATGTACACAGGATTAGATCGATTTTAAGCAGAATTGATACTTAAAATCTGTCCCAGCCACTGCTACTTTATTACAAGAGTACCCTACTAATCCAGGGACAATAATTTAAAATAAAAATTAAAAAATTAATTTAAAGATAATATAACAATGTTGTGTAGTCTTTAGTACTATAGACAGCCAGTTTTACACACTGCAAGATTTATTCGTCAAAATTATTACTTCACAATTGTATTCGAGTCTTACACACATGCTATACAGATAATGTAGAGTTGTGCATTAATTTGAGTGGTGAAAGATATTATGGGAGTGGCTTGATGGAGCGCAGGAGATGCAGATAACATGATCTTGACCCTTAAGAAACTTTAATGCGGTCACGTAACAAATCTGTCCAAATATAAAATGAAATTAATTGCTACATTGAAATAAAAATGTAAAGCCTGTACAAAAATTAGAAATCGTGAATAAAAATAATTGGGAATCATGTAAAACATTTAAATAAAATAAAAATACATTTCATTTATCTATTATAACATTTATATAGTTTTGTTCGCTTGGCTGTTTCCTTATAAAAGTCCACAATTTTTAAAAAGTTTTTCGTCAGGTGTCTTTTAATAATATGACGTCATTAGGTTGCTGTCTTGCCGCCAGCCAATCGCTGCATTGCTGATCGTGGTTTCGAGTATTGATACATAGCCCCTTTTAAACAAACCCATGACCACGCAATTATCTCAGATAACTCAATCCAGCCATACTAATCATCAACAACAAGTGCGTTCGAAAAAACGAATTAGCCAGATCCTGATTAGCGCGATCATATCATATTGAATGTGACATTTCATCTCGGATGTAATAAGCGATGTACGAAGAACGGGCCCCAGATGTGTTTAGGTTAGTCAGAATCCACTCACCACTCAAAATACAAGTGTTTTGTTAAGAGCTGAGCTCTGCAAGCTCTCAAAACTTCTTAATATAACAAAGTAAGTGTAGACGCTATGTAAATAAGATATTCATTGTGCAGTGTAGACAACTTCATTGACTAAAACAAAAGTTTGAGACTGTGATGAACTGAGATGAGCGACGTGTTTTTAATGATAAAGGGAATTTGAAAATGTGATATTTTATACAACAGTTGAATAAGCAAGAATTTAATTAAGTGACTTACATTTACTTACATGACAATAGAAACACTACTGTATGATTTTGCTCATTCATCAAGAAAATAGCTCCAAACAAACCCCAGAACTGCTGCACACCTCCAAGCAAACACAGTGGTGTTTCTTTTATGAATGAATCTGCATTTTAGAACTAAACTAGTGAGTCAATGATTCAATGACCCACTCATAAAGTCACTTACTTTGTTCACTAATGAATCAGCTGTTTGAACTAATCTATTGATTGAATGATTCAGTGACAAAGACAATGACTTGCCGCCACCTACTGGCAGTTTTATTGTAATTTCATCCAAGTATCATTTTTAGTTAAATTATTTAATTTTTCTATATTCAAAACATTAATTTCACAATGTTATGAATTTAAATGCATTAATTCCTTCGCTGAGCCTCATTAAACAGTTTTAATTATGCAATTTGAAAAAGTTCACAAATTTATGAATTTGACAAAAGAGGACAAATTTAGAAAGGTTAGAAAAAATGCTTTAAAATGGTTAAAAAAAAAAACCCTACAAATGACTGTCAAATGAGGAGTCAAATAATGCCTCATAATGGGAAGGTTAATTTCTGTCATTCATCAGGAGGTGCTCCTAAATTTTTGACTGCGCTCTTAAATCTGTAAAATTATGAGCACAAGTGCTCCTAAAAATGAATCCAGTTACGCAGTGACTTGAATTAATTGCGAACTAACCTCTTGTTTTCTCAACAGTTTCTGCATGACCATATGTCTGGCGCTGCTGCCCGAGATACTCATGTGCTCCTGTTCACTGAGCATCTCCTGGCCCGTGCCGTCTTGAGCGGATTCTTCTTCTTCTTCTTTTTCCTTCTTTGCCTCTTGGGCTGCAGCCACAGCAGCTGACAGTGACGGCGGAGAAGCCAACACTGGGTTCACAAGGCCCACCTGAGGCACAACAGGGAGTGTGGGCCGCGCTGGGGTCACCCCTGCACAGAAACATAGGAGTGAGTATATTAGCTGTGGTCTAACATGTGAATTTAATTGCTACATTGAAATAAAAATGTAAAGCCTGTACAAAAATTAGAAATCGTGAATAAAAATAATTGGGAATCATGTAAAACATTTAAATAAAATAAAAATACATTTCATTTATCTATTATAACATTTATATAGTTTTGTTCGCTTGGCTGTTTCCTTATAAAAGTCCAGAATTTTTAAAAAGTTTTTCGTCAGGTGTCTTTTAATTATATGATGCCATTACGTTGCTGTCTTGCCGCCAGCCAATCGCTGCATTGCTGATCGTGGTTTCGAGTATTGATACATAGCCCCTTTTAAACAAACCCATGACCACGCAATTATCTCAGATAACTCAATCCAGCCATACTAATCATCAACAACAAGTGCGTTCGAAAAAACGAATTAGCCAGATCCTGATTAGCGCGATCATATCATCTTGAATGTGACATTTCATCTCGGATGTAATAAGCGATGTACGAAGAACGGGCCCCAGATGTGTTTAGGTTAGTCAGAATCCACTCACCACTCAAAATACAAGTGTTTTGTTAAGAGCTGAGCTCTGCAAGCTCTCAAAACTTCTTAATATAACAAAGTAAGTGTAGACGCTATGTAAATAAGATATTCATTGTGCAGTGTAGACAACTTCATTGACTAAAACAAAAGTTTGAGACTGTGATGAACTGAGATGAGCGACGTGTTTTTAATGATAAAGGGTGATTGAAAATGTGATATTTTATACAACAGTTGAATAAGCAAGAATTTAATTAAGTGACTTACATTTACTTACATGACAATAGAAACACTACTGTATGATTTTGCTCATTCATCAAGAAAATAGCTCCAAACAAACCCCAGAACTGCTGCACACCTCCAAGCAAACACAGTGGTGTTTCTTTTATGAATGAATCTGCATTTTAGAACTAAACTAGTGAGTCAATGATTCAATGACCCACTCATAAAGTCACTTACTTTGTTCACTAATGAATCAGCTGTTTGAACTAATCTATTGATTGAATGATTCAGTGACAAAGACAATGACTTGCCGCCACCTACTGGCAGTTTTATTGTAATTTCATCCAAGTATCATTTTTAGTTAAATTATTTAATTTTTCTATATTCAAAACATTAATTTCACAATGTTATGAATTTAAATGCATTAATTCCTTCGCTGAGCCTCATTAAACAGTTTTAATTATGCAATTTGAAAAAGTTCACAAATTTATGAATTTGACAAAAGAGGACAAATTTAGAAAGGTCAGAAAAAATGCTTTAAAATGGTTAAAAAAAAACAAAACCCTACAAATGACTGTCAAATGAGGAGTCAAATAATGCCTCATAATGGGAAGGTTAATTTCTGTCATTCATCAGGAGGTGCTCCTAAATTTTTGACTGCGCTCTTAAATCTGTAAAATTATGAGCACAAGTGCTCCTAAAAATGAATCCAGTTACGCAGTGACTTGAATTAATTGCGAACTAACCTCTTGTTTTCTCAACAGTTTCTGCATGACCATATGTCTGGCGCTGCTGCCCGAGATACTCATGTGCTCCTGTTCACTGAGCATCTCCTGGCCCGTGCCGTCTTGAGCGGATTCTTCTTCTTCTTCTTTTTCCTTCTTTGCCTCTTGGGCTGCAGCCACAGCAGCTGACAGTGACGGCGGAGAAGCCAACACTGGGTTCACAAGGCCCACCTGAGGCACAACAGGGAGTGTGGGCCGCGCTGGGGTCACCCCTGCACAGAAACATAGGAGTGAGTATATTAGCTGTGGTCTAACATGTGAATTTCTGGTAGACATCTATAAAATACTTCTCTATTTGAGCGAAATAGCTTTACTAGTTTCTATGGCCTTTACTAGAACTGTTCCCTAACAAAAATCTGAGGCACAGTTTAAGAAAAAGTTGCTGTCATTTAGGGTGGCATGTTTCAAACCCATGTGTCTTTATTTTTTTTACACAATTACAATGATTGGAGATAAAGTCTGTCAAGCACGTTTCGAACCATCAATCTACAACGTCATCTTCAGAATTAACAATATGGAAAATCTAAATGTAGGTGCTTTACTGATAATCTTCCCCTCCAGTGAGATGTTAACTGTAGTGACTAGATAATATTTGGTCAGTGAGAGAAAACTTGAATCAATTTGTCAACAGAATGTTCAATTTGTGAATGAAAACGGATTACAGCTCCAATGTGTGCTAGAATGGATGTCAATATTTTTACTGAATAATTTCATAATTTTTAGCTGAACCATTCCTTACAGAAAACATTTATCTAAACAGGACCAGGAAACAAAGAAATTATGCATTATAAAAAAAAACACCATTGCAGAAATCAGACAGTTTTGGCAGTGCTTCAACATTTTTCCTCTATACCTGCTTGCCTCTGAGACTATAATGTTGAGCATTTAATGAAAACATTGGGGGAAAAAAAATTTAAGACAGGGGTCACTTTTCCCCTCTTTGATGCAACATCTGTCCTCTCTGGGCTTGGCTTCAAGATCAATTCCACAAAAAAAAAAAAACACAGGATCTGAGAGACTCACTGGCCAATAGGAATGAGAGATTTGTTTATGAGGGGAGGGGTTAGAAACAGTCCTCTTCAAACTTGGTTGATCAGTGTGCAGCAAAAGGGAAGGGTCATGGCGAATGTGGAGAATAAAGACAGGGAGGGGAAGAAAGGAGAAAGAAAAGGAGAAAGAGAGAGAGAGACAAAGGAGAGAAGAGAAAATAAAAGAGAAATCTATTAGTGGACACGTCCCAAGACAGGCCACGTTAAACTGAGTACTGTGTAGGACAACAGAAACCTGAGGGAGAGAGAGATTGTGTACATTTAAGCTAACGTAGAAATTAGAGATTATGGTCAGTGTTCAAAATGAGCTTTTTAAGTAAAACAAACAGACTGAGCACAGCCACTTAAAAGTTAGTGATCCGATCTAAACCGTGTAGCCTAAGTAATGTGTGGGAGGTCATGCCTGCTGAATAATGGCTTTAAAAAAAATAAGGCATGTGTTTGTAATTATCTTTCAGGTCTGACTCCAGTACATGTTCCTAACAATCCTGTTTTCAAAAATACATGAAATGCTATCATTCATGCAAATTACACCCAAGTGAAGGGCCCCACTCTTACACAACACAGGTCAACCACATGCAGAACAAAAATACTTAAAACATACAACACGATTAAGGCACACAAGTGAAAAAACACTTTGTTGCAGAGGGCCACAGTACTGACAAAATAATAATGATGTTATAAACCACTTCTGAAGGTACCTACCTGTAATGACCCCTGGGGCCTGAGCTGCCATGACGGCCTGTGGGAGCTGAGGCAGGTTCAGGCCCGTCCCCGCGGCCATCGCCCCCAGAATAGATACTCCCGCTACCGCTTCCTGGAAGAACAGAGTGGGACATATAGGAACACCGCCTGGACAGCGCCCGTTAAAAGCACACAACACCAACACGAGTAGACAAACATGTCACAGGACAGGACATGAGACAAACAGACCTTCGCACACACAGACAAGCCTTGGGCCAGCTGCATAAAATGGGAAGTTTGAGCTTATTTTGAGCCTATTGAGAATAGGGATGCTCATATTTACGGTTTAACTGTTAACCAAGAATAAGAATGTTGTCAGATGAATACTTTCAGTTAAACGGCTTAAATTTTTTTTGTTAAGTTTGCTGCATTGTTAAAGAAAAATATTCTACACATATTTGATAACTCAAGTTAAGCATGCACCTGCTCTACTTTCACTTAGTCAACTGAAGTAGTAAATGAAACACAATGGCAAGTGGCAGTATTAGATAAATGGTTATCGAGGAGGACTATAGCCTAGAAAGCATGCATAGAGCCCTCTACTTAGAATGACTAAAAAGCGGTCACTCATCTTAGTTCATCGCGATGTCACAAAGTTCCATTATATTCAATGAAGCTCTACAGGCTGCGCTCCAGACAATTCCTACAGCACATCAACATGTTACTTTTTTTATTTTATTAAAAATTAGATTAGATTAGTTGTGCACAGAGTTAGGCCTGCTATTTATTTTTATGTCTGACGAAAAAAAATAAGACTATGCCAGTTCTTCAGTGCATATAATGATTCAGTGTGCGTTTCATTTTGTCATCTTAATTTGTTAATTTAAGTGAAAAATATTTAGTGTAGGCCTATTTATTTTATTCTTTTTATTTACATTATTTTATTGTTTTTCCTGTTCTCAGAAGTGCTGCAAGTGTATGATAATTTGAGAATCCAGGTTCTGATGTTGCTCTGTATGCTGTTTGCACATTAAAATAAACCTGTGAAAACTGTTTTTTTTTAAAGAAGTATTTTTAATGGGTTACAAACACGCACCCATTCTATTTTTATTTAATACTTATTTAATATTTGAATCTTATCAGTTCACGGTTAATGTTCAGACAACGAGCAGCGGTTCTTGGTCTGGTAAATTAACCAAAATGAGCATCCCTAATTGAGAAATTGGATTTTTGTCGGCATTAAGCGATAAAATATCTGTAGTGTACCATCTCAGAGTTTTCTTTCCTGTCTCCACAGCAGAAAAAGATATACTCACAGTCAACATACATGTTTGTGTGCTATATGTTCAGCTGTCCCTTAAACATTTGTGTATAAAAATTATATGGAAACACATTAAAAGAAAAATTGATTTCTAAAGCAAAGTTGGATTTTCTTCATTTGACTTTATATACAAAACCTAGAAGGCTCCAAACTCTAAACAGTGTTAATAGATGAAAATCAGCGAACTACACCAACACAAGTTAGGCCTTTTAAGCTACCTAAATCCGTAATTTTTATTTAGACAACCCTCTACATTGCGAGTAAATCACTCGCATATGCGACTAAATCTTCACTCTGGGCGACTAAATGATGTCTAATATTAGCCACTGGATAATAAAATTTTCAGATTTTACTCGCCAGTGTGAGAGTTGGATATAAGGATGAAGTTTAGTATAAGTTTAGCACAGATATAATTTAATTCACCAAACACTAACTGAGCGCTTCAGAGTTTCACTCTGTCAAGTGATCTGTGCTATTTTTCAGTTCATCTGAATGGATGTGCAGCGCACCTGTGTTTGACATACCGCAAACTCTAGTGTGAAGGCGCACAACTCACCGTCGCTTTGGTGAGAGCAGAGAGAATGAGATAGTCTTACATACATGCAGAACTGACGCGCTACATGTAAACGGTATTCTTTGTTGTATTTTTCTGTCAAAATAACGGAGTTCCTTTGGATTTTTTCAGCTTTTAAGAACTGCCAGGTTCTCCGGCAGTGGGCGGAACTAATGCGCAAACGGCAATCTCATTGGCTGGTGCTCACCTATTATCGTCCTCGTTTTGATTTCAGCAAATCAGTTAGAGCGAACGCACACAACCCGATTAATATTCATGAATCCAGCAGCTCGTTAATTCTTAGAGCGTTTTATACTGTTCTTATTAGTAAAATTCGTATTATTGTTACTATTATCATCATCTTATCGGATCTTATTATTATCTTATAGGAGGAGCCTAATTCGACTACCAACCTCACAGTCAAATATTTGTGGGGTGTTATGATCATGCCATTTTGGCTATATGGGGGTGCTCAAATGTCTGATTTCACTTAGAACTACCTGTTTTCTCCCAATAAGTTAATACACAGCCTATTATGATAATGCTGTAAATAAGAATCTGAAAAGAATCTTCAAATAAATATTTTAACATGCGTGAATAAATCTAGCCACCCCATTGTACGCGCAGCTCAAAACAGAAATACAGAAGATTAATAACTACGGTCATATACATAACGTTATGAGAGCACTATTGTAAAAAAACGTTGTGAATTCTTAGGGTTTCGCTGACAATGTGTGCAAGATTCGAAAAATCCGATTTGACTATGAAAATCCTTAGTCGGGGACACCCCTAGTATTATTGTTAGTTTCCACCCCCCCCCCTTTTTTTAACAGAAACACTGAATGACCAACAAAGCACCACCACCAGTTCTAAATTCTAATTACTAAAGTTCTATCATTAAAGTTTCATTAAGTATCCCCCCCACCCCTTCAACCTCTGCAGCAATGCTGGCAGCACTCATATATCTATTTCCCAAACACAACCTCTTGATATGACGCTGAGCATGTGCACTCAACTTCTTTGGTCGACCATGGCGAGGCTCATACGTCTATTTCCCAAACACAACCTCTGGATATGACGCTGAGCACGTGCACTCACCTTCTTTGGTCGACCATGGCGAGGCCTGTTCTGAGTGGAACCTGTCCTGTTAAACCACTGTATGGTCTTGGCCACCGTGCTGCAGCTCAGTTTCAGGGTCTTGGCAATCTTCTTATAGCCTACACCATATTTATGTAGAGCAACAATTCTTTTTTTCAGATCCTCAGAAAGTTATTTGCCATGAGGTGCCATGTTGAACTTCCAGTGACCAGTATGAGAGAGTGAGAGTGATAACACCAAATTTAACACACCTGCTGCCCATTCACATCTGAGACCTTGTAACACTAATGAGTCACATGACACCGGGGAGAGAAAATGGCTAATTGGGCCCAATTTGGACATTTTCACTTAGGGGTGTACTTACTTTTGTGGCCAGCGGTTTAGACATTTTGAGGGGACAGCAAATTTACAGTGTTATACAAGCTGTACACTCACTACTTTACATTGTAGCAAAGTGTAATTTCTTCAGTGTTGTCACATGAAAAGATATAATAAAATATTTACAAAAATGTGAGGGGTGTACTCACTTCTGTGAGATACTGTCTGTCTGTGTGTGTATGTATGTATATATAGATATATATCTATCTATCTATCTCAGTCTGGACGAGTAAACTAAAAAATTTACTAGCCAATGGCGATTCAATTGCCAAGGTGTCCGTCCGTAGAGGGTTGTTAAATTTGAACTTTCTATTAAAAGAATCCAGAGAAAAAAAAAAAATGTGTCATGGTTTAAACAAAAACATTAAGCAGCACAACTGTTTTTAACATTGATAATTTTTTTTTAAATTGAGAATTCATTTCTGAAGGATCATGTGACACTGAAGACTAGTGTTGTGCCGATAGACGATAGTATCGTGTAACGACGATAGTCAGAGATAGACAATATCAGATCTCTGTCGATAGTCAAGACGATATTAGGCTTATCTCCTATAAATGTATTAAATGGCCTATTATAATTTGGCTATTATTATCATCAAATTGCCCCGCTATTTCCCCACACACACACGCGCAAATGAGGATTAGAGTCTGTAGCCGGCGAAGGAGTGTCCAACCACAAACACAGACGTACATCGTCTACTGATATAAGGTATTGCACTTAAGTAATCTGAACGGCTTATATTTTAACCAAGCCCTCACTAACAGAGTTTAATGCCACAGTTAAAGGCGCAATAGGAGATCTTGGAAAATTAGCTACATCATGCGTTATTCACTGGTGAGAAAACTTTAAAAGTACTACAATACCAGGAAGGAAGATCGGGTTGTTGATGTTTGCCTGCCATCCTCGCTCTGTCTGCACAGCGTGCGTGAACGCGCTGATGACGTGTCCTGTCTGCGCGAACCGGGTGCGCAGAGGTATGCAGATACATTAGTTGACAGGCAGGTAGGAAAGCTTATTAAAACGCTCGGACCGAGCGTTTTGATTGGACGAACATTTCTTGGTCCTACGCCTTCCACAAAATATATAAATACAGATGAATACATTTAGACCACTTAACTTAATGATTGCTATCGGGATGTGAAGAGACTTTCAACCAGCATAACAAAAAATGTTTCTGAAGACAATCACCTATTACATCTTTAAGTTAAAACGCAGCTCATCCTCGTTTCTGTGGTGGTGCGTCGGGCTCATCATGGGGCGCGCGGTCCAGAGCTCTGTATGACTGACGTCCGTTTAACTTAACTTTACTCCAAATATATGAACTTATCCGTTTTAAATATTTTTATATTTAACGTGTTCATTTCTGTCCAATATTTAGTGTTAAACTGTAAAAGTAAATCTACTTTTGATTTTTACAGTTGACTTTTGCAGACCTTTAAGACTGATAACGTCCGTGCGCAGATGCGGCAAACTTGTCACAGGACGCGCGGTTCTAATAGCCATGTACGACTGTTGTATGCGAATATATATGAACTAGCTGTTTTAAATATCTATATTTAACCTGTTAGTTTATCAGTATGTTTGATAGTAAATTATTTTGATTATTGGTGCTTTCATGGGCTCTCACGTCCTCGCGGTTTAAAACACCACATAGTTATAAAATAACCTATGACAAGTACAGAGATTCTCTCTCTTGCCCCCACTCACCCACCACGCATGATAATATCGTGTATCGGCGATCTCACGGGCTGGCGATATGACAATTTGAAAAATGACCATATCGCCCAACACTACTGAAAACTGGAGTAATGGCTGCTAAAAATTCTGCATTAAAATATAATTTATTTCGGTTGTCAAAGTAGATTAAAATAAAAGGTTTTAAATTGTATTATTTTAGATTACAGTTTTTACTGTTTTATAACGTTTTTATGCTCAACAAGTCTGAATGGATTTTCCTTCAAAAAATATATAAAAAAAAAATCTTACTAACTCAAACTTTTGAATGGTAATGTATGTATTAAACACAGCAAAAAAGCTAACAGCTAAAGGAAATGCTTGACATTAAAAATCAATTGTCCGCTTTAAGTGTTCATCTAAACATTCAGGCATTTTATGCAACAAGGCCCAAGACATGAAGTAAAGGTCAAAAACATGACAAAACAAGCTAAACGGATCATTAGAAATCTTTATAAATTATTAACTATACATTAATTTAGAGACTGCTACATAACAGTTATAAACTGTTATAAATTTATCTGCCTAACAATTTAAAATATATATGACAAGCATGAGACAACACAGGACAATTACATCACTGATCATACAAATTTACAATATATATTTAGTAGCATATAATATAGCAATTTTAGCATTATCTATGCTGTAGCATAGATGCTATAAAATTCACTAAAATGGAAGTAATCCACAATAGAAAATGCCAAAAAGGTATCTCTGAATGAAAATATTAAAGGCACACCCATTAACAAAGAACTATCATGAAAAGCCTTAAGAGATTAAGCAGACATCCAGATTTATATATTCATCATTATGTGGGCCAAAACCCAAAAATTACAAATAAGAGGCATAATTTAGGGTGAAAATTTTTGGCAGAGGTGCTACTTAAAGTCACCTGCAACTAAAACTGCTCAGCTTTCAAGTATATGGGCCTGTCTAGTAAACATTCTCTACCTAGCACACTATAGAGCAATGAGCATCAGTGTAACTGGGATGTCCTGAAGACAAGACTCTCCCCACACTCATTCTACACAAAACAAAAAGGCACCAGCGTGCTTTGAACAGAATTTCCTGAAGCATTTACCAGACAGTTGAGGAAGTCTTCTGTCCGATTCTCCGGCTGGGACAGATTCCATGCCATCTGTTTTTGGAGTTTACACGCTATGTTATCTTTCTGCATGTAAAAGCTCTGTCTCAAATAAGTAATGCTGTGTCATAACTGAGTCTTCATGCCAGTCAATGCCTAAATTGACTCAAATCAAACCCTCACATACAGCACCAAGTGTCTGCTCTAGCCTGCCAAGCGAATTAAAATCACGCTGCCTTACTTTACAAAGGAAGGCTTTTAAGGAAGGCTGCTCACACATACTCTCTCTCCCTGACTAACAATAGATAATCATGGTGTGTAAATGCTCACCTGTGCTGTGATTTTGGCGGTGGCGGCAGCAGCCGCTACGGCAGCTGCGGGAGGAAGGCCGCCCGGCGTCGCTGGTGTCAGAAGGGGCATGAGTGGTGTGACTGCTTTGCCCACTCGCAGGTACTGGCCGCCTAAGTCGAAAAGGTTCATGGAGGACACAGCATCTTGCGCAGACTGGGCCTTATCATATTCTACAGGGGAAACAAGGAAGACTAAGACTCAACAGCTTCTAAGACTCAGCATTAATCTACCAGAGCTCTGACAGTTACTGTGTAATTACCAGCGGGCACTTATGGCACAAAAGTCCGTAACAGAGCCTAAGAAAACAACGACAACAGAAATAAAAACTTACTATGAAAGCATGTGAGGAACCTGCCCCCACCCTTCTCTATCCCCTGTGAGACATGTAGAGAACAGCATTCTACCATGACTGACTGCTCTCAGTCAGATACATTTATATACAACCGAATGGGTGAAGCAGCCGCCTGCTTACCTATGAAGCCATAGCCTTTGTGTTTTCCCGTCGTGGGGTCCCGCGCCAGGTTGCATGACTTGATTCTTCCAAAGGCCTCAAACACACTCTTGATGTCGTCGTCTGACAAATCGGGATGCACAGATGCCACGTAAATTCGGTTGAAGGCGCGCGCTTCTTCGGCTAGCTGGTCTATGATGGGTTGAGCCTGACCAATGTTGCTTGGTCGTCCCACCTACAAGTGTTGAAATAACAAATCAGACATTATTGAATGTATGAAGGACATTCAATAAGGACTTTGAAAAATAAAAATCACAATTTCTAAAACTTAATTTTTTACAAAGTACTCACTTTAATGTTTCTACCGCCCAACATAATGGAGTTCATCTGTTCTAAAGCGAGCTGTGCTGCTTCTGGTACTTCATATTCTACAAATGCAAAACCCTGAAGAAAGAGTAGCTTATCATCAGTTAAAATACAGAAAAAAAATCAAAAACATAAAATAGCAAAAAAAAAATAAAAAATAAAAGACCTTCTGACCTTGTGTTTTAATGTAACAGAGTCCCAGGACATGTCAATGCTCTTAATGGGACCAAAAGGAGCAAAGGCCTGTCTGATGGTGTCTTCTCCTAGCTCGTAGTAGATGGACCCAACATAAACACGGCACATTATGGCTAGTGCCCGTTGCCTCTGTGCTGCAACCTGTAATGGACAATTTAATTGATCAGATGGGGCCATGCCAGACACATACTCATTCATAAGAGTTCATCATTCATAGGCTTGTTCCAATGATTGAGGATTGAACCAGAAGACAATAAACATGCTGGCACCGAAGACATAGCACTGGCATTTCTTTACCTCCGCCCATTACACACGTGCACTGAACCCACCACATGTATGCCAACAAAAGGAGGGGATAACAACATCTACTGTATTCTCAAAAAGTTATGTCAATGAAGGTTACTGAGATTACTTGGAGAAACGGTGTTGAACTTACAGACTGTAGTGGTGAGAGGGGATCTCCAAAGCCCATCGTTAATGAGGCCATCTGAAGGGAATTAGGGAGCTGTCAGGAAAAATAAATCAACATGGTAAGTCCATTACTATTGTGCAGCTTTTTTTCTACCACGGTTGGAAGTTGTCAGATGAGGGTAGAAAGGGTTCATACTCACATAATGATACATAATTACAATCATGATTAAATTGTGTATACACCAAACAATGTGTTTTTTTTTCAAACACAATCGCTTTCTAACCGCATTTTTCTATCATCACTATAAATTAAATGTCAAAATAGCTTTACTATGATATTTTCATAATTCTGAAAAAAA